CGCATTTGTATTGATAAACTTATCTTTTTTAAATATCTTGCGTACCAATTCAAAAATTAACTCATCTTGGATGTTCTGTTTGATGAGAGGTATAATAAGTCTTTTTTTTGAAAGTGGAGTATCTATGATGTTGATAATTTCAGTTCTACGATATCGTGCGATAGTTAATCCATTAAAACTTTCCTTCAGTCGAAGAAAGATAAAAATTGCTCGTGGCTTAGTGTACATCATTGGCTTAGTTGCGACAGTTGGAATGACAATTCTAAATTGCACTGTAGATACTCAAGATCGTTATTACATTTACAAATTGCTTGCACAATATTTATGTGTTTTCATTTTCCCAGTAATCTTTATGATTGTGACTTACTCCATAATCGCTCGAGCATTGATGAAACAAAGAAAAGCTACGAACACTCTCGAATCCGACACATTCTCATGTACAATCCTCCACCAGCTCAAGTCTTCGAAGATATATTCGAAGTTTGAAAAGATTTTTTGTTTGTGCACTAACGGTTCTTTTTTTTTCAGTTGGTAATATTTATTATATCACAGCTTTGTTGCAGCAGTACTATAGTGGAGAAACTAACGCGATACATGTATATGTTGGTTATTGTGTTAGAAGTCTGGGGTCGCACGCTCTCAATCCATTAATCTATGGAATATTTGACAGACAAGTGCTGTACTTTTGGAAGTGTTGTACAAGAAGATTTTAGCAAATTTATACAGCAAAATATTTTAATCACTTGTATATTTCCTGTTCTAATCTAGAAGTGGAGATGTTTAAAAATTTAATGTCTTGAAACAAGAATTAAGCCTTTTACAAATTTAAATATAGAATTAAGAAAAAGGATACCTCTGAAGCGTACTTTAAAAATTTAATTGCTTTGAATAACGAACACGGAAACTAACCAAAATAAGTCAAAATATGTTAAAGCAATATATACGTGCACACTAGAACCCAAATAAGTAATGACACTCGTCATTACTTTTCTAGTAAATAATAAAGGTTTTCTTCATTATAATACTATTCTTCAATCTTTTCTTCTGTGGGATGTTGGAAAAGTGTTGGTGCATGCTCATTTAAAGACTCGAGGGAGAAATGTAAAGATAGAAAGATATAAGTAAGTTATTAATGAATAGAACCTAAAATGGCTTCGCATTCAGAAAAGAGAAACTTAAAATAAACTTGTGTCCTTTTCCACTTTTGAAAACAATGCTTGTCTCCTATAAAATGACCACTATCTGAAATATCTTGAATAAAATATAAAAGAGGTTAACAATAATGTCGCAAAAAGGATAACATAAAGGTTTACGTAAAGGTAGAAAAAAGGTAGATATGAGTGTGATAGATACAGGTTAGAATACTTATAACTAGAAAATGGTGTTAAAATGTTTAATTTGTTTGTTAAGATCGGTTTTTGCTTGCGTATGTGTAAGGCTTCATTAAGTTTTAGAGAAAATTGAGTGCTGGCGGTGTCTTTGATAGTGAAACATGAGCGAGTGTATTTGGAGTTTTTAAAACAATAAGTTAGAGCTGATAAGAAAGAGCAGATGCGTAAACTTCTACTGCTATGTTTTAAAACAATTTACTTAAACAACTTAAAAACTGATGAACCGTTTTTTATGGCATTTGGAAAGTGAAATATAGAAAAATGAAAAGCTAGAAATTCTCGTAAAACGTCATTTTTCGTTTCCGTCAGTTTATGCTTGTTTCCATGACCTTAAACATTGACAAGCATTTGATCATTGAGGTTATTGATATTTTATAGAATTTAATGTAATGATTTCGCGTAAAATAGTCAAAATTTACTGTTCAATATGGCTTTTCGTCGAATAAAATATGGTAAATTTGGATACTTTTGAATGCGCTTTGTCTTAGGGAACGTGCCTATTCACATTTGCAGCTGTGATGAGACGTTACGTGGGTTTACTTTTATTTAACTGTAATAATATTTCAAAATTAAATCTTATAAGAAGCATTAAGTTATATTGATGTTTGGTTATGTAATTACATATTATAAACTTTCATGAATTCTGATTGGTCAGTATAGCTAACATAGAAGGCAGAACAGGTTATATAACACATTTGTTGAGTATTTCACATACAGAGCAACGAAAACCAAATTATTTTGGTATTTAGAAATTGAAATGCAGAAATATACAGACCATTCCAAAACGTATAGTAATTTAATAATCCATCATATTTTTATCATGGAAATTTTCTTTGTGTTGAGTATTGCAATATGCATACTTGGTATTTTGGAAATACTCTTGTGATCGTTACAATATTAAAACAAAAGATTCTGTTAAAGAAGAACTACTATTTTCTTTCTTATCTCCCAATATGTGACGCATTTATACTATTGCGTTATTTCTCTTTAAAATCTTTGAACACCATTCGAAAAGCAATCCAATTTTGTTAAACTGCTCATATATAAGTAGCATAGATACTTTTTAAGTAAGTGGAGTATCTATGATGTTAATCATTTCAGTTCTACGATATCATGAAATAGTTCATCCATTAAAACTTTCCTTCAGTCGGCAAAAGATAAAAACGTTTGTGGTTTAGCGTACATCATTGGTTTGATTACGACATTTGAAATGACATTTCAAGAGTGCATTGTGGATCCCCAAGCTCGTTATTTTATTTACGAATTGTTTGCGTTTTATTCATGTTTCTACATTTCCTAATAACCTTTATTACCGTGACTTACTCCATAATCACTCAAGCATTGATTAAACAAAGAAAAGCACTACGAACACTCTCCAATCCGACACATTCTAATCTGCAATCCTCCATCAGCTCAAGTCTCCGAAGATATACTCGGCATAGTAAGACATTTATTGTTTGTGTCAGCACAGTTCTCTGCTTCACAGTGGGTCACGCTTGTTTTTTGGTTGTAGACGTGCTCTATATAAACAACACTGTTCGATCAAATTCATCCACTAATCTTTACGTTGTTTATGTTCTCCGTCTTTTTGGCTCACACGCGTTAAATCCTCTGATCTATGGAATATTGGATAGAAAAATGCTGTTTTTATGGAAATGCTGCCCAAAAATAAGACCAATCTAAGTTGTTTTCATTATGAAAAAGTAGAGATTTGTAATATAGGGGCTCCTTTATGTATTTCGAACATTATAGAGCAGCTAGAATATAATTTAGTTGTGAATTGCTTTGTGAGCGTTTATATGATTCTAAGAAATGCATTTCTGTTGATTTCCAATAATACATAATTTCATAATAGTATTGTAAATCAGGTCGGCATGTTTTCCATCTCTTTATTTACTTTATTAATAAAATAAATAAATGTGTTCGACATGATGATCTCAAAATTAATTTTGCAGAGTTCTTTCTGTGAACAAAATATTTAAAAGTTATCAGTTTCCTGTCAAATTTGTGGTAGATAAATACATTTATTCAATCTACAACAGCATTTTACAAAACAATTCAGCGTCTTTGTAAACATCGCATATTTTGATTTATACTGAACAAATAAATACTAAAATGAGATAAAAGAATTTTGACTGCATACATGCAGTGGCGTTTTACAATTGCAGTAGGCTAAGTAGGCTGAAGCCTACAGGCCCGCTTTTTCAAGACGCTCGTTGTATTTAGACATATTTTACCTTTCACCTTTTTGTTCTAAAGTTCGACCATATATGCTGCTGGAAACTTTACGATCTACTGTTTTAATGCTTAATGCACAAAACTCATAAAGTGCAGGGACTTGCTCAGTTTGAATTTTAAATTTGTTCCTTAATGTTTACACTATATGAGTTACAAAAAGAAGACAGGAAATGCAAAAGCAGTGGAACGCAAAAAACACAAACGTCATCAAAACACTGAACTTATTTGGAGGAACAAATATCACTTAAAAACCCACAGCTTTGTCGTAGCCTACAGGCCCCGTAATTATTTATCCGCCACTGATATTATTGGTGTAGGACAAACTACACGTTTCTTTTCATCCAAGATTTCATGTAAAGGAGAAGCAAATTCACTGTGCGTCTGTTCTGCCCATCTAGCAAAGTTTTTTTTGTTTTAACCACTCTTTGTATACATACGTCCATCCGTAAACGAATTCGATGTTATTGAACATCAAATTTTGGCCGTCCACACGTAGGCAAAGACGCCATTTCATATCACAAGTTTTCAAATTTACTTAAAAACTCTAGTTTACAGTAATTACGTATTATCGTTTGTTCTAAGTAGCATTTGTACAATAACAAAATCCTCCATTTTCTTGACCGAGAAAATGGCTGCCAGACTTTGATTGACGCACAATATGTTGACACGCATTCTTTTACGTAATTCCGTAGAGATAGCTAACTAGTTTCCAGTCTTCGTAAGTTACTCCTCAAATCAATGACTTATTTCAACAAACTCAAGTTTATTTCTTTTGCAATGCTCGAGCTGATTATTATTTTTCGCCGATCTAAGTATCCTGACCAAATATGCAATGCGCATCGTTTTGTTGATCTTGCCACGCATCTTTGTCGACCAGTGATATTCTACATTTAAATTCAAACATTCTCAAACTTTCACAATCACGTAGCTCTCATATTAATCATTACAGAATAAATACAATAAAACGCGTACGCTGATTGGTGTAGAAGTGAATTTCCATTTGCCTATGCAAACCGAACTGAGCTAAATCAACTAAATGCATCAAAGGAAATTTACAAATCAATCATAATACATGTTTGAGGAAAGGTCAAAGCGTTTGTTTCAAATTTGTCTTTTTCGCATTATTGTTATTTTATAAAAGAAATAAACGATGTTTTACGTGTTTGCACTGGCTTATGCAAACCTTTGAGGGGTAGTGAGAACTCGAGCTGGAGAAAAGTCTCGACTTTGGATCTCGGTTTTGCACTGATCTGTTATAATTAAAATATGTAGTTACACAATAAGTGAACAAAAACAGTTCTCAGATTTCGTTGGTCATCAATAATACTTGGCACTGACCTCTTTGATGATACTGGATGGATTTTTTTCTTTAGAGAAGTTCAATATGTCGTTCTTAGCAATATAGCAACATTATCATCGACAAGGAAGGTGATTTTCATTTGATTTCCTCGTCTTTCGTTGCATTGGTTGCATGTGCCTAAATTGGTTTAATTTCTGTCGTTTAAAGCAATTTCCTTATTTGTAAATCTTCTAGGGAATGTTTGAAGCGCATCTGAAAAGTTTCTTCGTTCATTCCAACGACTCAAAATATATCAAAACATTTAAGGTAAGCAGGTGACGATTGACTACATGTCTATATCAGACTTTATGTATTTTACTTCTGATCTCTGATGTACGTTAACTTGATCTGCTTAAGTGCCCTTGACACGATTTTTTCTTGTCTTTGAACAATCAATCTTCCGCATTTGTCTTTGTTTTTAACGCTAATCTTGACATGCTTACTTGTGGAGTTATTAATGTTTTGGCGATATGTACACACATTGAAGAATTTATTTTGGCCGTTTTCTGATTTACTTTTTGAATCATGTTTTATTTCGTTGTTGTACCGCAAACCTGCTTGTACTGTGTTAAAACTATTGTATTGTTTAGTAAAATGATAACCTACTTAGGACTGTTTACATGAGCCCTACGGAAAGGGCTAGCCTTCTTTGTAGGGCTGTATTCTACCTTTCTTTTACATGCAAATTCTAGCCATACATCAAGAGCTCTGTTTGAACTGCGAATTTCGGCGCTAAAATACAAAATAGCTGAAAACAAACCAATATAGTTGTCGCCTTTGATTTTTACGCTTTCTTAGTTTGTTTGCTCCGTTGATGTCTTTTGTTGTCACCATTGCTGAAAAGCGATGCCTTATCGCATGCATGAGAATCCTTTAATTTTTCAGCCCTACAGGAAGGGCTAGACCTGCTGAATGCGTTTACATTGGACATTCTCAGCCCTACATGGCGAGATTTCGTGTAAGCAATAGCAAGATCTCGGCTGGTAAGGCTGGCCTACCTCTCATATAAACGAAGAGTGATTTTATGTAGAAATTTAACTGCACGCGAGATCTCGCTTGGAAGGGCCAACCTTCCCTGTAGGGCTCATGTAAACAGCCCCTTAAAGAAAGTTTTTATTTTTAGTGAAAATAAATGAAATTACGAATTATGCTCATTAGGAAACGATTGAACGTACATTCCCTTATTTATCTACCACAAAAACTTCAATAAATCCAAAACTAAGCATGCAGACATTTATGTCAAAAAGAGAGTCCATGACAGTTATTGTAGACGATAAAAAAATCATGTCATATACACGTGTATCGGTGTTTAACATGAGAATTATCTTGAAGATTCAACGGTATTTTGTATTTTTTTAGCTTGAAATAATGACGAACATCGCTTCGGAAAGTAATATAACGCTACTATTGCGGTAATTTCAGGTAATATTGTTTTGTTGAGATGTTTCAAGAAATTGCCCATTTTGAAATTTTAAATATTCTTCATCGAGATGAAAACTTGTCTGTCATATTGAAGATATTTGTGTATTTTCTGAACGTTACTTTGTATAGTTGCAGTTATAGTTTGAAGAGCTACAATATTTGTACGTCAATAACCTCTTGTTTCTGCGTCACCTCCCACAGAGTTCCTTTACCATAAAAACTTTTCCTCTCTTTAAAAATTGATCCTCATCATATATAGTTGTTAATCTCTTCGCACACAGTTACCCTTAATTGCACGAACATACATAGCTGCCCTTTATCCTTTAAAATGCATAGTTACCCTTAATTGCACGAACATACATAGCTGCCCTTTATCCTTTAAAATACATAGTTACCCTTAATTGCACGAACATACATAGCTGCCCTTTATCCTTTAAAATACATAGTTACCCTTAATTGCACGAACATACATAGCTGCCCTTTATCCTTCAAAATACATAGTTACCCTTAATTGCACAAACATACATAGCTGCCCTTAATCCTTTAAAATACATAGTTACCCTTAATTGCACGAACATACATAGCTGCCCTTTATCCTTCAAAATACATAGTTACCTTAATTGCACGAACATACATAGCTGCCCTTTATCCTTCAAAATATATAGTTACCCTTATCAGGTGAGAGCACCTGACAGTACTAATGACACCATCAATGACAAAATATACAAAACTAAAACATGCAACTGCCGACAGAAACAAAACTGCCCACTTAACGAAAACTGCCTACAATCATCTGTCATCTACAAAGCAACTGTTAAACGTTTGGACACTAACACAACTGAGACCTAAATCGGACATGCAGAAAACGAATTTAAAACTCGACACAGGAACCCCACTGCCTCTTTCCGCCACAAAAAAAAACTAACAAAACTTAACCAAACTCAGTAAACACATATGGACACTTAAAGACAACAACATCGCTCACGATATCTCATGGAACATCATTACTCACAGCAAACCGTACAACAGCGCCAACAAAAGATGCAACCTATGCCTGAAAGAAAAATCCTTGATCACCTACCAACCACAACTATCATCTCTCAACAAACGTAACGAACTTGTCTCCTCTTGTCGCCATAGACTCAAGGCACTTTAATGTAATTTATAATCGTACACCTAGCTTGTATGTAGTTCTACCTATATATAGTTAGACACGTGCATTTGTATTCATTTAATATTATCCCCTGAAGAGTGAGAAATCACGAAACAGGCTTGTCGAGATGAAATTGTAGTTTTGTGAATTTTCTTCTTAACAATATAATTATGCTCCGCTGTAACGCATCGAGCACTGTAATTACGGAAGATCAAATAAACAAAACTTCCTAGTTACCCTTATCATATATACTTTTATCCTCTTCATACATAGTCTCCCCATTTTTGCCTTTTTTACATCTCATCGTTCTCGTTACAAGAATTACATCAACAATTCGGACAAAGAGTTCGTTGCGTCGACGATACAAGCCATTGGCCGTTGTTCATCGAACATTCCCGAAGTCACGGATACCTGTTTAACCGGTCTAGTTAGACTGCTATCCAAGAATGGTACCTGTTTAACCGGTCTAGTTAAACTGCTATCCAATACGATTGGTAGTACCTGTTTAACGGTCTAATTAGACTGCTATCCAATAGGAATGGTAAGTTGCAGATACCTGTTTAACCGGTCTAGTTAAACTGCTATCAATACGATTGGTATGCAAATACCTGTTTAATCGGTCTAATTAGACTGCTATCCAATAGGAATGGTAAGTTGCAGATACCTGTTTAACCGGTCTAGTTAGATTGCTATCCAATAGGAAGGATAAGTTATAACAATACCTGTTTAACTGGTCAGGTTAACTGCTATCTATGCAATAGGAATAGTAAGTTACAAATACCTTTTTAACCGATCTTGGGAATTGCTGTTAAATATTCTTCAAAGCAGGCCTTGTTCACAAAAACTATAATCACCCTGAAGCAAAATTGGTACTGTAATGTACGCACAGGCCAACGCGAGATCTTTAAAACTTGGATTTTTCGCTTTTTTTCATTTTATACCAAGTGTTTTTTACACTATTTTTACGTTTGGCAATGGGCTTGCTGATTTCATAATGGAATTTACGGATGCAAATCTCCAACAATGCATAATAACGTTATTATTATTAAAAGCATTGTTGTATGGCAAAATGGCGCGCTTTGATTGGCTCAGAAACATTTTTGTTGGTCCATTATTTTCCCGTAATGGACCACACGGTCTAAAAACGCGTAATTTTACAGTCAAGTGTAAACAAACTTCGTAATGCAAACAGCAAAACGCAAAATAAACGAAACAAAAAAACATTTACGAATGAGATTCGAAGGAAAAATACTTGGAAAACAGTTAAACTATCCAGACGATACAATTTGAAACGATTTATTTTTTATGGACGAAAACTAGAAAAGTGAAAGCCGACGGGTAAAAAACAGCAAAGACGAGAAAGAAAGCAAGCTTCGTTTCAGTTCAAATAATGCCATATAATAATCCTTTTAATAACCTCAGTCTTTTTGTACAAACTTCGCCCTACGGCTCGGTCTGTACAAAAAGACCTCGGTCCGTTATTTCTCCGTAAAGACCTCGCGCTCGGTCATTAAAGGCCTAGTAATAAAAATGAAACGGAAGTTGATACCGTAATCAAATAAATGTGCAAAACATGTTATAGTTAATTGAAATTACGAGTCAAAATGTAGTGTGTTTTTTTAAACTCTGCACTATCCTTGGATCCTCATTTAGATTTACAAATGAATGAAAATTTATCTTGTTGAAGTTGATGTATACATGTCAGACGTCAATTTCTTTACTTTAGAAACGGTGGTGGCTGAAAGCGTTGTAATGATAAAAAAATTATTACAATTAAAGGTAATTTTGTCGTTGTCTTTATCTTGATTGCGATAAACGTACGTATTATGATGGATGGCTGTTATTCATTTCTTTTAGCATAAAGATAAATCTCAAATAATCATACAAATGACGAAAATACTGAATAAAATTACGGTATGTAATCTTTATAATTTGCATAACTCCCTTTGTTCCAATCATTACTCCCTATCTTCCAATCATTACTCCCTATCTTCCAAGCATTATTCCCAATCTTCCAAGCATTACTCCCTATCTTCCAAGCATGACTCCCTATCTTCCAAGCATTATTCCCAATCTTCCAAGCAATATTGCCAATCTTCCAAGCATTACTCCCGATCTTCCAAGCATTACTCTCTATCTTCCAAGCAATACTCCCTATCTTCCAAGCATTACTCCCAATCTTCCAAGCATTACTCCTTATCTTCCAAGCATTACTCTCTATCTTCCAAGCATTACTCCCTATCTTCCAAGCTTTACTCTCTATCTTCCAAGCATTATTCCCAATCTTCAAGACATTACTCCCCATGTTCCACGCAGGTTCCCATGGCTCGTGCCAGTATCATTTGGCTCGTCGGTGAATATGCGGAACGTGTTCCAAAAGTTGCCCCGGATGTACTGAGAATAGCCGCGAAGTCATTCACAAAGGAGGTTTGTGAGTTATGGATTTCAACATTTCGGCATAACTTGTCTCGAAATTTCTTCATATTTTTCGACAAATGTTTTTTTAAAAGAGTGTTTCAATGTTTTTTCCGTTGTTTTCAGGAGGATATTGTGAAATTACAAATCATCAATCTTGGTGCGAAATTAATTCTAATCAATCCAAACCAGGTTTGCCACTTGAAGAAAATACTTTATAATTATGAATTAGGGTGATCAATTTATATATTGGCAGAAACTCAGGAATACATCCATGATGGTGAGATCTATTCCTGGGTTGGGTGAGGA